TATATATATATATATATATATATATATATATATATAGTATAGAGATATTATATCTGGAAACCACGTAAGTTTATCTTCTGAAATCTAATATATGGTTGCCAAGAGGTGTAAACACCTCGTAAATATACATTTTTAAATTAAAAAAATGTCTGCAAAACCAAAAATGACACTAGCAAACGGTTTTAATCTTTTTGCGTTAACAAATTAAATTTTTTTTTTTGTTTGCAGGACATTTTGAATTTCTTGTAAAATTATTCAGTTGAATGGTGATTTCACTGATTGGCCACCGCACTAATGTATGCATGTTTTTATCTTTGTAAGGGGAGCTAATAAGCTTCTAAAGGGCAGATTTACTTTGCTTTTGGTGATCTATGTGACAGACCAAACTATTCACCCACTGACATGTCAATTTAATGGTAGCTGCTCCAAGGTATCAACCGTCCAGAGGCAGCCTTAGGTCTCAGATTTGCATGATAAATGTTTCCTAAAATGAGTCACTTGCACTCTTCTCCCAGATCAGTGGAGAGTAAAGTGAGTTCAGAGCCATTAGAAGGACTTGAGATGATTTAAGGTTATTTACGTTTTTTTCAGAGAGATTAATTTACGGAAACATGTAAGCACAAGAAGCACAGCAGAGGAATTGATGAATCAACAGGAATATCTCTCCATCTTCAACCGTCACACTACGCCTTTAAAAGCTCAACTGACTTGCTCAGACTTCAACATCTGTGCTCGGCGAAAACATGGAGAAGAAAGCAAGCCTGCTATTAGTCATGTGGCGTCTCCTGTCGGATGACCTTAGCCCAGTAGGACGTCTTTTGGATTAGTCAGACCGAAGCATGTAAGTCAACAACACATATGGTGTAGGAATGTCTCCAAACTGAGTTATGGTTGGAATCATATTAAAAAATATTGAAGTGTTGATGTTCTTTCAGAACATCAGTTCTGGCTTGAGCTGTGGAGCGGATGTTGAAAGGTTGTTTTTCTCCATTTTTAAATTTTTTTTATGTATATTCAACACAAAAAAATGAATACTTTTTAAAATTTTAATATATATCTAATCAAACACACATAATAATGTATTTCTTAAAACCATTTTCTGATCTTTAGATATGATTTAACCAAAAGGTTATGAAAGAAAAACTACAAAAAAAAACTCACAAAAAGGTAAGAAAATCAAGGGACAGCTTAAAACTCAGATCGACTCGTGTTTGTTCACTTGGTGACACTTTAACTGTATACAATTTACAGCTATAACCCGTTTCTCCAACATCTGCTGACACAATAATTCCAAACAAATGTCAAATCTTACCTGACTTATTTAAAATGAATTTTTTACAGTGCATTTATATATATATATATATATATATATATATATATATATATATATATATATATATATATATATATATATATAAGTCCTTTATTTTATCTGGAAGTCCAAACATTTGTAGGTACCATTTTACCATAATAATCCCATTTCAGAATAAAACACTGAATTTGGTGTATTTGTAAAGTAATCATTCCCTTTTGAACATTTCCACATGTTATGACAATAAAAAGACAAACTTGTATGTATTTTACTAAGGGTTTTGTGATAAACCAACAGAAAATCCTTGAAATGTGTGTACATTTACATTCTTGTTTTACCCCAATACCCTAAAATCTACTACAGTGACAACAGCTGCCAATAAAAGTCCATTATCTAGTAAACAGAGTCCATCCAAAAGTAGGTTAATCTCTAAATAAATAGAGCTGATATATAAAGAAGTTGAGACAATTATTGATCAAACTTGATGGAATAGCAAAAATGTGGAAAACTGTGTTTGGTCACCATGAAAGCATCATCTTCATAAAACAGAATCATGGCAGCATTGTGAAAGATTGCCAGAGATGATGAAAGACTGGTTAAGTTAAAAACAGGGTGATTTGTCTTCCTGCTGATGAAAAACCTAAGATATTCAGCAAAAGTTGCAACAGAACAGATGTGATCAGAGCAAATTCATGCTGCAGATGAAGTTCAGACATAAATCCAATGTAGATGTGGCAAACGGCTACAATTAATGGTCACAGATACTATCCAACCTGATTGATCGTGACTCTGTTTACAAAGATAACTGGACCCTTAATGGAAAGCTGTCCAGATTGGCAGCTGGAATTCCAGTGATGGAAGGATGGTTCAGCGATGGATAGAGTCCATTTCTCTCATTGAAATTCATACAATTGCAACCATGTATGATTGAACAAAGATACTCTGTTGTGCTCCCCCACAAAAATAAACCTCTGATAAAATACATTAGAGTAGATTGTAACATGACAGAAAGTGGGAAGTTGTGAAACTGTGGGGCATCTGGATCCATTCTGGATCTGGATAAATTGAAGCAGGGGCTGCTTGCTGAACATTGACGTTAACTGAAACATAACTCTGGCGGCTGATCCTGCCTCGATCAATACCAGCCCTATGACTCATAATAAGCACAAAAACTCAGCAGTCTCATTGTAGTATTTTTGATGGTAAAAGGATGGGAACGCTACACACAAAGAGTTGCAATAACTATGCCTTCTGCTTTATTTTTCTCCTAATGTTAGCTTTATGCTTTGCCCACAATAATCAGTTCAACATGAAAGCAGTTCAGAGTCCTCTTGCTTTAACAAACTCCTCCTTTGCTGGTGTATCTGCATCCTGTGATCCCTCTTCCCCACTCACTACACTTCGTACATTCCCCTCAGCATCGATGACCACGCTGGTCCTCCTCAACTCCTCGTAGTGCGTTTGTCTCTCAGCCACGGCCACACAGGCAGCTAGGACTTCATCTGACTCAAAGTCGTAGTCCTGCTCCAGCTCAGGGGCATTAAGAATCTGCTTTTTGGTCTCCTCCTCTTGTCTAATCTTCTCTTTGGTGGCCAACTGCTGCTTCTGTAAGGTCCATGCCCATTTCAAATCCTCCTGCCAGAGGCTACGCTCTGAGGGACACAAGTGGATGGCAATCTGGAAGGACCTCACAGCCTGGGGGGAGAGAGGAGAGGATAAAAAAGGTGGAAACAGATGAGTGGGAAGTCTTTATATATCAGGTTTAATGGTGACTTCAGCAGATAAACAGTGAGGCAGCATGGAGCCCATTCAGCATTTCTGAGAATATGACAACCCTTCTACTACACTTGACAGCCATAGCATTTTAAGAACAGCAGATCAATCTCTCTGTGCTGACGGATGAATTGGAGATTGCTTTGAAACTTATGGTTCCACTTAACAAAAAAACATCTTGTGGATGTGAACACACACAGGTGTCCTCCTTGATGAATGACCACTTGACTGCTGTGAAATGGTCAAATAAATTGAATCCTACAAGCTAATAAAGTAGACTAACGATCTAACAAATCAAGTCAGACAAATAGAGACTTGTCAATTACCTCGGTTAAAGGAGTGGAAAATGGGGAGAAGGCTGGTGGTTTACAGCACATTTCAGCTTTTTAAATAAGCTGACCTTCAATAAACCTGAGGGGAGTTGGGGCAAAAGTAGACTTTAAAATGACAGATGCATCCCAGGTTTTTGATTCTCTCTTAAAAGGAAATTGGAAGAAGCATTTTTTTAGAGAGGCACCAATCCGTCATTCTTTTATATTTTTTAAGCCTTCCTGCTATAAGCAAGAAACAAAAACAGACAACAAATGATAATTAGCCACATTAGCATTGAAATGTTCATTAATATCGGTCTAGTTTTGTGCTCAAAATATTGTTTTAACCTTTCTGGAATATAATAGAAAATCTGAAGATCACATTTGGAATCAGAATTTTACTGTCGCTTCATAAGGGTTTGAAAATATATTCTGTAAAGAGAATCTCGGTCAGGGCGTCCAAAGTGTGATCCAAGGGCCATTAACAGCCCTTTCAATGATTCTGCTAAACTACAGTTTGAGAATTGTACCAGTTTTGTCCATCTGCATGAAAAACTTGTGCTGATAGATTTTGTTTATTTCTAAGGGTTAGATCTTCAGAATTTGCAAAATACAGTTAATGTTTGGCAAATAACAATGACTCAACTCCCTTGTTGAAGAGCATAGAAAGAAAAAAAAAGTGTGTAAAAAGAATTAAACTTCCCATTAAGAGAAACATTTATGTAATGTTCTTTAAGATTTGGCTCTACAATCATATATAGATAAGATAGATAAGATGCTTTATTTGTCATTATACATACAGAGAACATACAACAAAGTGTCACAGATCAGGCAGACCTGTGAACTTCTTGCAGTGTGGCAAGACTGCTAACCACTATTTCACCGTGCCGATCCTTTCATCACTTTTATCACTAAAATATCAGATGTTTACCCTTTTTTTAAACACCTAGAGCAGGCATGTCCAAAGACTGTCCTTGAGTGCCACTGTCCTACAGGTTTTCATGGTTCTTGGTTTCAGCACAGCTGATTTGGACGAATGTCAGATATAGAAGCCTGTTGCTATCAATGGAAATAAGCTGTGCTGAAGCAGGAAACCTCAAAAACCTGCAGGACAGCAGCAGAGGATCGAGTTAGGACACATCTTACCTAAAGACACAAAAGTTCACAATTTTTGGGGCTTTAAATACTTTCAACATCCTAATTTTGGCTCAAGTGGTAAAAAGTTTTGAATTGATGCGATCTTGGTCCAAAATGCAAACAAATCCATCATGCTTAACAAACATTAGTTAAAGGCTGAAAATAATAAAAAACAATGTTCCTGTTGTCTTCCATTAGGTTTTCTCCATTTAATTAAAACTTTTTTGCAGCCTGGATGAACAAGTATGGACAGAGATAACAATGTCAAACTTTTAAACAACTCTATTAGTGAAAATATATAACTTTCAGTCTTCTGTCAATAACAACTTCCTTACTAAAGAGTATTTTCTTTAGCTTGAGCTAGAAGAAACTGTATAATTTGAGTTAACTGGATTAAGTTTCATACCAACTAATCAGACTTGATGAGGATAAATATTAATTCCAGTTATCAGCTGATTTCTCAATGCAACACTAATAATCTTACCTAATTTATTGATGACGCATTGATTTAAGTATGAAAGGACATGCTAAATTCACTTCCCAAAAATGTATTTAGGGACCTCTAATCAAACTTTTAAAGATGCCTAGTTTAAACACAAAGCTTTATCTAAATTAATTTGTTTAGTTTAGAAAAAAACAACCCAGAGACAGGCTACCTATGGCTAAGTGCAGGCAGACTGTAGAAGCCTCACATAGGCTTTCATCCTCACAGTGCTTCTACTTTCCACTTCCAAAGAACTGAAACAAATCCGACACCAATGAACCCATTAAAACCATCAAAATTTGCTCCATTTTACAGCTTTTTGATTCCCAACTGAAACTTCAGTTAAAATAAACTGTAATATAAGTGACTAACCTGGAAGGTAAAATATAAGCAGATGAAAATTCTTCTTATGTATTACCTTCAATATGCAAAAATAAATGTTCACATTGCCAAACTAACTGTTGTTAGGGGTAACAAATCACCTGACTGTACTGTAATGAACATGATTAGACATACTGTCTTATTTTGTATATCAAATAAGTGATTTGAATCGTTATAAAAAAGATGGTCTGGAGGAAAAACATTGGAATAAATCGACCTCTAGGCTAATCATGATGGCAAAATTTGTTGAATGATAAATTGTCTCAGAGATTTTAGCGATAAACTATGATATACTAACTGTGGCATTAAATTTGAATCCAAAATACTTCTGCGCTTCAGCTGTCGAGATAAAACCAATTCCGTCCCTGTTTTTTTTTTTTGTTTTTTTAATCTCATAATAATGCCACACTCACATTAAAGGATAAAGGGATGGGTGGGTAAAGACTAATACAAAAGACTGAAATCATTTGGCACCGTGACTCTTTAGTGGAAAGAAAAGGGGACATGCTGGAAACAAAGAAACATCCATCCATTTTCCGTCACACTTATCCCTGCTTGGATTGCTAGGGGTGCTGGTGCCTATCTTCAGCTGTCTACGGGCAAAAGGCGGGGTACACCCTGAGGCAGGGTACACCCTGGACAGGTGGCCAGTCTATTGCAGGGCAACACAGAGACAAACAGGACTTACAACCATTCAACCACACACTCACACCTAAGGAGAATTTAGGGAGCCAATTAACCTAACAGTCATGTTTTTGGACTATGGAAGGAAGCCGGAGTACCCGGAGAGAACCCACACATTCACAGGAAGAACATGCATAAAGACCCCGGACTGGGAATCGAACTTAGAACCTTCTTGCTCCAAAGCAGCCGTGCTACCAACTGCATCAATATGCAGCCCAAAAATAAACATGCAAACATAAATTATAAGCCATTTCTGGAGCCAAAATGCGTGTTTAAGTGTCCTCTCAGGAGCCAAAACATGTTCTAAAGTGCCATTTAGGGAACCATAAAGTTTGTTAAAGTGCCCTATCGAGAGACAAAACGTGTGCTAAAGTGCCCTCTCAGGAGTCAAAGTATGTGACAAAGTGGCCTGAGCCAAAACACTTACTAAAGAGCCATATTGGGAGCAAAAATGTGTGCTATGGTGTCCTTTCAGGACCCAAAAGATACATCAAAATGCTCCTTTGAGAGCCAAAACGGCGCGTTTCAGTGTCCTCTCTATAGCCAAAACGTGTGCTAAAGTGGCCTCTGAGGAGTCAAAGTGCGTGACAAAGTGCCCTAAGCCAAAACACTTACTAAAGAGCCATATTGGGAGCATAAAAATGTGTGCTATGGTGTCCTTTCAGGACCCAAAAGATACATTAAAATGCTCCTTTGAGAGCCAAAATGGGCGTTTTGTCTTCAGTGTCCTCTCTATAGCCAAAGTTTGTGCTAAATTGCCCTCTTGGAAGCCAAGGGGAAAGCTAAAGTGTCCTCTAGAGGGATAAGGGACTATATGTGCACTATAAGTGCCCTTTTTTCCGCCATTGCCCTTTAAAAAAATCTGTGCAAGCCAATTCATACCAGAAATTGTAAATTTTGTAATACCCTGGTGAATTAGGGGCAAAATAGCATTACAAGCTTTGTTTTGATATTTTTTCTGCACTGTTTCTATAACCGTGAAATAAGTTTACTTGAAATAAAAAATAAATAAATAAAAATAAAACAGAACAGTTGGATTAAAGCAAAAATGAGTAAATAAAAATAAAACAGAACAGTTGGATTAAAGCAAAAATGAGGATCAACCGAATTTCCAAACAGGCACAACCTGAACATGTTGGTACACACACTTTAAAACGGGATAGAACAAGTTGCACTAAAAATAGGATTTGTTTTGTCATTGCTAAGGGCTTCATTATACAAGAAGGCGTGTCTATATTTAGTTTACTTTGTGCTTAGGTAACTTTCAACACTTCCCATTGTTGTTTTTGGTGCTGTTGGACAGGTCTCCAGCTCTAAGGCATGCATGAGCGAGATCAACTGGAAGGGATTCTACCTTAAACCCAGAATGCTTAGCTTTCAGGGAGCCAACAAAGTAACTGATCCACAGGTTTCAATCACACAAGTCCTGGCGTGTTATGGGGCAATTTAGTCAATCATCTCAGCCACAGGCACCTGGGTGTGCTTCATATGAGGAGCTTAAGCCTGAAGGCTGGAAGCTTCAAAAATAAACAAACTAGTAAATACAGTCATTTTTGAAGTGCCGTATAGGCTAGTTCCTTTTTTTCTTACGTTTAAGTTCCTAATACAATTTTTAAAACCTGTGGGGAGTGTTGCCCGAGTGTTTAGAGCAGTGCGCTTGTGCTCCAAGAAGGTTGCAAGTAGCCGGTTCGATCCCCACAGCCTCATCTCTGGATTCCTGAGCAAAACCCTTAACCCCACACTGCTCCCCCAGCGCCACACGATGGCAGCCCACTGCTCCACAAGGGGATGGGTTAAATGCAGAAAGTGAATTTAAAATAAAGATATTTATATTTATAAAGACAAAAATCGACCTACAAACTAAGCAATGGATGGATAGATGGACAGATGGAAGGTTAACTGATACAATGATTCCATTAAGCATCATCATGGGAGGATGGACAGAAAAAAAGATGCATAATCTTGAACTGCTCGTAATTCCTCCTCACTGGGACCTTGGAAATAACAGCTAGGGTGGGAAATGTCTCCATCTTATACATGAAACTGCTGAATGGTTAGAGAACGCCTTTAATAAATGACTGCTGCACCCTTGGTGAACTATAGGAGCACTATCAGAGATCTTCCCTGCAGGCAGCTATTAGGTTTAAAATCATTCCTGATCCCTACAAAATCAAAATTCTCCAGATTCTCCAGATTCTCCAGATTCTCTTCTCCTCTCCTCTCCTCTCCTCTCCTCTCCTCTCCAATAATAAACTGGTTTTGGTATAAAGGTTAAAGCCTAAAGCCATAAAATGTAATTGTTATTGTCTGCTAGAATAAGGAAATTTTCTCCAAGCTGAGACTCAAAAAACAACCTACATGTTTGACTTACAACAGGATTTTTGAGGATATGCAAGATGATTATGACAAAATAAAAACACTCCCAGTAAGCCTGGAAGCAATTTAGTTACAACTGAATTAGTTACAAGTTTTTTAAAGCTATTTCTCATCTATTTACACCGTGGCTTTTAATGTGCTGCTTTCGTCATACAGATAGATAATGACCTGAAACGGTGACAGAGAAGTGCTTCATCCAAGCTGCTTGTTCCCTAAAAGGCCTTGTTTCCAAAGTCTTTGTACAGAAAACTGTCTTAACAAATATGTAGTGTACTTGTTTAGCATTTGCAGTCAGTGACCAAACCTTTTATGCTCTTAGAAACACCACCTTACTCACCAAGTCTACCTCTCCCAGGTTGAGCTGCGCTCGGCCCAAAGTCTGCCAGCCCTCCCAGAACAATGGCTTAAACTTCACAGCCAGCTCTGCCGCTTTCACTGCTGGAAACACTTCATGCAGAATGGTCAGCACCTGCAGGAAGCATACATGGTACCAGGCTTAAACCAGGCTTCAGTGGATGCCATATCAAAGACAATACATCATGGTGTTTTTAACCTCCTGATAAAGATGATGGATAGAGCTAAACTATTAATATCTTCATTTTTGAAGGAATACTGTTTTTGGCTTTAATTTAAGTGTTTCTGTCTATTTTCCCAGTAGAGAGTACATCACAAAGGCAGAATAAATGATACTGAAGTTGGCAATTATACCGTATACATGTGTTCACATGGCAGTGTTAACAATCATACCAGGTGGCCCTTTTATTATAAAAAAATAACCAAATTTATCGACAGCCTGCACTAATTTCCACCATAGTTCACCATAGCAGCATAAAAAGAAATAGATTTTTTTGAAGTAAATAAAAGAAAAACTATAAAATAAATGTTTTCAAGAATAGTTAAACATAAAACTACTCCTCAAATATATAAATACTAACTTAAGTGTTAACAAAAGTTGTAAAAGACATCACAGCTACACCTGAAAATATGGCTACTAAGTGCATAGCACCTTTTTTTAAATTTATAGATTGTAACTGTAGGCCTATAAATAAAATAAATTGTTTTAGCTATCTGTTTATTAAAATATCTACTGTATGTCATTTGTCTAGCTGAGACAAACTCAAGTGCAGTGTCTGTGAGCCACCTTAGAAAAAAAACAAAACAGTAAGGACCCATTCCTTACACAGAAAAAACAAAAACAAATGTGGTTCTTCAAAATCGGCTTAAATAGGAAGGATTTCTGTGCTGCAAGCTGACAGAATTGGCAAAGACTTCCGGATGGGAGTGGAAACAGCTACAGGAAAACTAAAGTCTGGTTTTCTTCCGATTTAAGCCTGTATTCTGGTTGCAATTAACCTGGAAGTAGCCAGATTGATATGTGTATATCTGAGTTGAGCTGAGTGCAACGTTAAAAGTTGGTGGTTACGAGATGGACGCATTAGCAGGAGTCTTTCTAGATGGATTTGTTGTGAGACTGAAAATTCAGATCTCACAACAATCCAGCCTGCAGTGCAAGGTTAGGTTGCAATGACCCTCATGACAATTTACAAAGGAAAAATTTGCTTCTTTTAGGGTCATTGGACTTAAGAAACTCCATAGATACACATCTAAAATGTCAGTAAATTAATATTTAGGATTATATTTGACATAAAAATCCTGACAGACGTTTTTATTTTTCCCTCCTCTCTTTTTTCCTCATCCTGTCCTATAAGAGATCTGACTTTTTTCTCTTCACTTCCTCTCTTTTCCCTCCTTGCTCGCCCCTGTCCACCTCCATGTCAGTCCTTCTGTACTACAAACTCGTTAGCGCTTGTAAACCATCATAAGCTGGGCTATTTGCTTGGCTAGAATGCTCCTTTGGTGTTATGGCTTTTTACTCATTGAGCAAATGGTGGAATAAATGATTTACTGACACATTGGCCCAGTTTCCTCCACTTCATAACGCTCTGGTTTTCTTATTAAGTGAGCTTGTTGCTAACTGATTCACAGAGCTGCCAGCAGTCGCACCTATTAGATAAAGTATAAGGACCAAAACACTTGGCCAATGGTGGTTGGGGGCCTACTAATAATAAAGAAATGCATTTATTGTTTATATATTAGATTATTTGGGTTGCATTTTGTTTAACTTAGTATATTATTACAGGTAAAAGCCAGTAAATTAGAATATTT